TGCAACTAACAGCTTCTGTTTGTCTTAGTCTTAGAAATGATTCCTAATTTATCAGAGGACAGTGATGCCTTCTAACTCTTCTATTCAGAGGGAAGTGAGAAATAGCAGCTATCATAGTTAAAAGGCCAAATGTGACTAGAAAAGTTAAAATACAAAGAAAGCTGAATAAAATAATGGAATAAAAAGAGGAGTGTAGATTCTAAGCCCCTGAAAACAACACCCAAAATACAACTTTTATTCAGTTAATTTATTTACCTTTACATGATTTGTCAACTAACATCCCAACTGTGTTAACAATTCTGCTATTTTTTTTATTTCAAGGAATATACTGTTACTCTTATTTCAACTTTTGTCAACATTATATTGTAATGGGACAGACAATCTCTGCTTTTGCTCTGTCAGAGCTAACACAACCTTCTCCACCATAAAACTTGTCACAAAGATAAAGGGTAAGCTGTCATCCTGCAACAGGAACAGATTTTGACAACACACACATTTTGAGTGTTCCAGTTTTAATGTCTTGAATTGTTATTTTTCACAAAAGGATGCAAGAATCTGAACTGCTGGTGATTTGAAATAACAAGTGACTTTACAGAAATCTGAAGACAATGACTTCTAAATTTAAGCATTCAGGAGAAGAGAGCACAGGTTAAAAGAATACTGTATCTATTTATCGGTTAATAAGAGAATTTCCAGAACCTTCAAAGTAACTCTTCAGATATTTAAAATCAGCTACCCAAGCAAGGCATACATCAGTTAAAAACTACTATCCTTCTTAAAGTCCTAAAACAATGAAGCATGCTTACACAACTTGATTTACACTTTCAAATGAAACCTGATTTTCAGAGATCTGAATATTTGATAGCATGGTTTTAGAGCACTAGTATACAGCAAATAACAGTCGTAACACTTTCCTCCTATATTCTTCACATATTGTAGTCTTACTAACTTTAATATTAGCATTTCTGAAATATGAGCATTTCTGAAATCCGTGAATTGACTACGACAATCTAACACTTATTCTTTTTGGCTCTCATCCACTAAAATGATTATCTGATCTGGATAATACACCTTTGCTCATGTGGTTCAATTTTCCCTATGCAGCAACAAGAATTCACCAGCTTTCTAATGGCAAAAGGACTAGTAAACTCTGTATGCATTAATGTATGGACCTAGCGACTGCCTCCCGACCACCCAACAAGCTGTAACTGAGTGACTGCTGTTCAGTTCTAAGTTATTCTTCCCAGATCACTAAATAACATTTCATGTCTTACAAGTCACCAACTGCCGTTACACTTTCAGAACTTTCTTTCCACTATCAATCTTAAAATTCACACATGCATGCACACATTCACAAATAACTCTATTAAGATGACAAAATTAGAGTATTCATAAGTTAAGAAATGTCAGAACTAAGGCTGCCTGTGAAATCTTAATTCACTTCCTTAACATGTGATAAGACAGGCTTTACCTACAGGAGTGCCTGTTATATTTACCTGAATGCAAGATCAACCTTGAATTCGGTTTAGTCAACAGGCATGCACACTCTTTAACAGATTAAAATATAACTACCTTGAATATAAGTAATTGCCTTGTATTTGAGGGGGTTTAACTTCCCTCCTAACACGGACAAAAAAAGTCCATACTGCTCCATTTTCCAGGGTACATAAAACAACGAGCTTCAGCCTTTCAGCAGAAAGGACCCAACATTTACAGTCACTGTTGGTAGGGGAGTGAGTAGCGACAGTACAGTTGATAACTTCAGTCTCTCGTGCCTCTACTTCTTCCTCTTCCCATACCACAAATTTCCAATTTCCCTGGGTAGCACATCTCCGCATAGCCTGACACATGCAAGAGTCTACCTCTGGGCCTCCCACGCACAGGTGGCTGTGGCAAGTGCAAACACTACAACCTGAGGGTACAGCCTGAGATGCAAATATATGATACCATATATCTGAGGGTATCTTTTCTGGAAAAATACTTGCTTTCCATTTGGCCACATGCAATACTTTTTCTCACTGTCTAGGACCTCCATCCTCTATGGCTCTCATTCCAGTCTCCCTCATCTGATCTCTGTTCACTTGGGAACTCCTCAATTATGCTTTGCCAGTCTATATACATTATCCTTTCTTGTCTCCCTGCTCAGTGAATTGCAGGCTCTTTCTGCTGCCTAATGAACAATTCCAGTATGCCCTCCCCAATCTTCCAAGCCAGGAAGTCCTCAGGACCTCTTATCCCATTTCAGTGCTCAAAGCCACCCTCTATACCTTATCCTCTTAGTGCTTACATCAGGTTTTCGCAATGTTAAAATTCACAATAAAAAGAAAACAAAGAGGAAAAGATTCTGGCTTCTGGTTCCAAGTCCTAGGCTCAGCCTGGCCTGTATCAGCCCTGGGTGCAATTGCTCTGTGCAGGGATCCCAAAGCTAGGAGAAGGAATATCCAGGAATTACTGACAAGTCCTGGCAAATAACAGCTGCTCACAAAGTCAGATTTTTAAGATGAGAAATGGACAGCTGAAATAAACTTGATGAAATGTGGAAGACTCAAGCTAACTGTGTAACAATTTTAAAGTGCCTGTTCTGAAGCATGGGAAGCTGTAACGATCAAAGGAAGTGTTCCATGTGTATTTTTTTGCACGGGCAAAATAGCATGTTTTTCATAACCCTTGGAAAGGGTTAGAATTTATTTTTTCCACAAAATACATGTAAATGCCAGGTTAGTTTTGAAAAATCCAGGTCTGAACAGTTGAACAGCAGTACAGTTTTAAGTACTTCTTTCAAGATATGATGATGGAAATACTTTTAATAATAGTCAGTGTTACCAGACTAACCTACTATAAATAGAAACTAACCTCAGTAACACCTACTGTTAATAATATTAATATTTATATATTATACTGTTTATAATAATTTGTACTCATGGACAAAAATCAAAGTGAATCCACTTACCTGCAGGTAACAGGGGCCAAAACAGAACCCAAGTCTCCCTCTCTACTGCTTAATGCAAGAAAAAAAATTCCTCATGGGTTTGTATTCACTACAGGATGAATATCGCTTAACAGAATTAATGCTAACGCTGGAAGTGGGAACACAGGGGAGTCAAATGTAGGTACACCCAATGTGGTTTCATGGATTTAGGCACACAGGCATGTAAATCACCCTGGGTCCTGAACAGGTTTGTCGACATACAAGTGTGTAGACTTACAGAGCTTGACCTCTCAAGGACACAAGCCTAGAGACTCCTAGACTCTTCCAGAGTATTTTATCCAAGTCAAACTGATGCACAGGTGTTTATTAATAGAACTGGAAAGGGTTCAATATTCAGTGAGTAAGCTATGGTCTTGCTTGCCTTCTCCTTGCTCTTTAGCTTGCCAGTCCATAAGCCACAGCCTTATCGGGCTGCAATTTGCTATTCTTCTCTTTGTAATGTTTTCCAGCTGTCAAATTCTAGAAGTAGCATAACAAAAATAGAACTACCGGAAGTTTTATCTTTCACCTGATTTGAAAACCCTATTACAGGAAAATGAAATAAACAAATATTTAATTTTTATAAAACAAGTTATTTTAAGAAAGACAGTCCTACCCACTTTCATTCATCTCCTGCTTACTCACTAAAAAAGTAAAAATAAAAGTCACGTATAACTGGAAAAATGTGCGTTTAACTGATCTAACTAAGCTGTGTTCTCATTACTGTTGTCATGATTTCCTTTGCTCTCAGACTGCATTCTGTCACTTCTACTATTTTTAATTGTTACATCTTGAACCAAAGTAGACTGAGAGCTTGTCACAACACGGACTGTCTTTGATTACACTTTTGTATAGCTGAGTTCAGACTCTGCTTGCTACTGAGAAGTAAACAGTGGCACTTCCCTTCTCATTAGCTATTTGTGAAATCTGAATAAATGATGCTTTTTCCTTCACTGGGCCTTACTTTATGACATGCAGAGTGGTCTTCCGTAGACGGAGCATCTGGGGGACTGTAATGGAACTGCATAAGGCTTGAGCCATGGGATGCAATCCAGCTCCTGGCACAGTTGGTGAAGAAGGGAGAAATCGTCCAAAATACTGTTGAATAATGTTCCCAAGCAGTTGATTCAAATAGGCCCCCTGAGTTTGGGGCTGACAACATATAAAGGACAAGCCCTGTAAAATAAAATTCAAAAAGAAAAACGGAATAAATCTTTAACAATACTAGACTGCATACATCCTAGAAACTGCTACACTCTGTGTGTAAACTACTGCTGCACACAGAATGACTACTGCGTGAGAAATAAGGATCAGTAATTTGCTGCAGCTACAATGGTCTAAGGATAAAGACAAAGTCAGGCAAGGCTTATGAAGAAGAGAAAATATCTTTTACTAGGTAACTAATACACTTGGAAGATGAGCTCTGGGACACACAAGCTCTCCTTCACATCGAAAATAAAACCAGGATATTTCAGACCTGAGGAAAGGCTTCTATGTCCAAAAGCTCTTTTCTTTTTCAGCTTTGTATGTGGTCTAAGAAAGATATTAGTCAAACAAGGTGTATGAGGAGAGACAGAGCACCTCATCAGTTTGTAAAGCAATTCATGATATTTTTGTATGAACGGCACAGTGGAATAATGAGTGCTTAGAAGAGTGGTCTGACAAACAATTTCATTCTTGGTGTAAACAGGTCTTTGTAAGTTAGACACCAATCAAAGGACATTTAGAGATTTTTTTAAATCTGTTTAAAATAAGGCTTAAACTGTGTGACTTATCCAATATAAGCTATATTGATGCCAAAGAAAAATCTATAATGAAAGTATAAAATGTCCAGAAAGTGCCGATCTGAGCACTGCCCCACAGTTATACAACATATACATGTTACAACTGTGAAAAAAGACCATTTCTCTTACTGATACAAGTCTCTGTGAGAGAAAGTTAAGAGTTTCTTTCCCCTTCCTTTGATGACTGAAAGGAAGAATAAATCACTAAAACCTGAAAAAAACCTCAGTTCTCTCCTGTCATGAGGGTCACAATAAGCAGTACAAATACAAGTCTCTTCAGAGTTCACAGTCTTCATAACAACTTTACCCAGCAGGACTAATGAGGTTAAAAAAAGTGGATAAGCATAGAGGTCACTAGACAGGAACTTCAACAGTACTTGATTTCTTTAAAAAAAAAAAAAAAAACTTAAATTTCAGTTAGTATTGCAATCCGTATGTTTGCCAGAGTCTAATTTTGGTAGAAGGAATACTTGCTTAAATAGTGATGGTAAGGTAAGCTAAGGCCCCTAATATATGAATGAATAGTTCAGGACTCTAAGGTATAAAATGTAGAAACACATGAAAGCTCCTTTTCTTCCCAGGCTACTGACATAGGAGTATTGCTCTTGCTCTTACAGGAGCTCCTTCCCATAAAGATTCTGTCTTTACCTGCCCATGTGAACATGAAAGAAGAATTCTTTTAGGAAAAAAGCAGGTTGAGACCACAGCTAAGAGTCTTCTTGGCACTTTCTTGAAATGGACAGTTCCCATTTTTGGTTCCATAGTAAATAAATAGAGGAAAATGAGATTTAAGAAATAAAGTGCTTACAGATCCGCCTGAAGGCTTCCTGTAGGAAGCTGTCTTGGATGAGAAACACACTGCCACAGAAGCCCTCCTTAACACAGACATCTTTGGTTAGGGCAGAAGTTCGCATGCCTCTAGAGCTCCTTGGAAATTTAGGTAAGTCCCAATGATAAAAGCTACACTTACTGAAACAAAACTTGGGCTTTAATGATCAGTTCAGGTTCTCCCAGCCATTTGCTTACATAAGCAAAATTTTGTACTAAAAGGCAGTTGCTACTATATCAGAATTCCTAAAAACATGGTATGACAAATGCAAGACTCAGAGAGACTGTAATAATGACATTATTTAGTTTGTGAGCTTGAGTGTTTGATGCTTCCAATGAGATGTTGCGGGAGATATAAAAGAGCTGCTTGTGCTTTCTGTGGTACTGCTCTTATAAAAAGAGAAAATATTCCATAGTCCTATAATCAAAGCTGGAGCTCTCAAGTCTCTAGACTGTTTCAACACTAGTAACAACTGTGAGGAAAGTGTATTAAACTATCTGATCTGAGAGACGTGAAGATCACTGCAACCTTACAGACGATACCTACTTATAACATTCAGTTCATCTGAGAGGTAAGAACAACATCAGGTAGAGAACACATACGGAATATAACATCTGTGAAGAAGTAATAATTATAATTATTAAAATAAGAGAATTCTTCAAATTGAGGAGCAGCAAATGCAACGTAGTATATAAGAAAAAAAGGAAGAAATCGGTCACTATGAAATACTACGAGTTACTTTTCTTAAGAAATGATCTTAAAGTTAGTTGATAAATGGAAGAAAAATCAAGGAATATTAAAATTTAGATCTCTGAAGGAACAATGCCTAATTTTTGCAGCTCTTGTAATAGTTTCATTTGACAGAACAACGTTAGCATGATCTTTCATGCAAGCATTTTCATTTCTGAGTTGAAGTAAACTGATTTTTTTGGGATGTGGGAGGAAGAGAGAGAGAAGTAATCTGAAAAAGAAGGAAAGAATTAAATTAAAAAATACCACCCTGAAAAGAACATTTCTGAAAAATATCTTGTTGGTTAAAAGAAAAACAAGGTCAGAGGTTACTATCTTTTTTTTTTCTTTGGTTATCTAATGAGGATAGAGTTCTCTAGAAACCCAGTAAGGAAAGCTGTTAACTAAAGATGCATTTATAAACACTGAAAAACCCTTTGTTCTGTAACCTAATGTTTTCTTTAGAAAGGATTTTAGTTTCTTTTTTGATGGGTCAGGCTGAGATGCTGCCTCTTAAAAGAGGCATGATTTTTTAAAATCACACAGCAATATCAAAATCTCTGTTTAATAAGAACCTACTTCAGATTGGAAGTTACAGTTTCAGCACCAAAGGATTCCGAGACACAAATCCTCTCCTCTAACTGAAAACAGTGAGAAAAATCACCTTCCATTTTGTGGGGAGACAAAGAACCCCCACCAAAACAAAACACCTTCTCTTGTTTATAGTAGGAAATACATGGATCAGTCCTTACACACGTAGGGCATGTCTACAGCATCAAAGCTCTTCAGGGAAGAATTCATCAGACCTTTAAATCCTGATGATTCTACTGCTCCCTAAAAGTTTCCAGAAACGACTTTGGGTTTCTGTTTTGGGAATGAAGGCCCTCTGGCTTTAGCTCAACACTGGGTTCTTTATTTTCGAATCCTTCCTTTGGAAGGATCCTTTGGAATTCTTTGTCACTCCAATCTTCAAACAGGGCAAGAAGGAGGACCCTGGGAACTACAGGCCAGTCAGCTTCACCACAATCCCTAGAAAGGCGATGGAGCATCTAATCCTGGACACCACTTTCAAGCACATGAAGGTCAAGAAGGTGATCAGCAGCAGTCAGCATGGATTCACCAAAGGGGAAATTATGCTTAGCCAACCTGATAGCCTTCTATGATGCAATGATTGGTTAGGTCAATGAGGGGACAGCAGTGGATGTGTCTACCTGGACTTCAGCAAGGCTTTTGACACTGTCTCCCATCACATCCTCACAGGCAAGGTGAGAAAGTATGGCCTAGACGAGCAGATAGTGGGTGGATTGAGAACTGGCTGGACGGCAGAGCTCAGAGGGTTGTGGTCAGCAGTGCAGAATCCAGTTGGAGGCCAGTAACTAATGGTGTCCCCCAGGGGTCAATACAGGGTTCAATCCTGTTCAGCTTATTCATTCATGACCTGGTGATGGGACACAGTGCACCCTCAGCATGTCTGCTGATGATCCTAAACTCGGAGGAGTGGCTGACACACCAGAGGGCTGTGCTGCCATTCAGAGGGACCTGGACAGGCTGGAGAGCTGGGCAGAGAGGAACCTCCTGCAGTTCAATCACAGGCAAGCGCAGGGTCCTGCC